TCCACATAGCTATCTGACAAATCAATTACTTCAAAGTCTTCCATGACTGCGACAACGACGAGGACTGGACGCTCTGAGAGACAATGAGAGAATGAGCCGGCTCAAGGTCTCACGCTGCGCCGCCGTCGGTCCCGCTGCGCCGCCGAGCGCGGGGAGAGGTGGCGGGGCGTGGTGCGGCGCGCCTCGTCGGTGGTGGGGGTAGAAGTCTCGCGGGGGGAGAGGACCCGTCGCTTCGCGCGCTACACCGTTGCCGAGCGTCCGTCCCGGCTCTCCACAAATGTTCTCATACTCACGCGCGCGCGGAAATTCAAAATGTCACCGGAACCCCTTGTGTCACCCACTCACCATACGCGTCGTGGCATGACGTGTCCATACGTGTCAGTGATCCTCGTTAGGTTATGTTACCACCGTTGACTTACGCCCTTCCATTGATCCTCGATATTTTTTTAGGGGTGGGTTTGCACCCCTTCGTCGATCCTCGATATTTTTAGGGGGTGAGTTAGCACCCCGAACTTTTGGTGTGAGTTTAGGCATTCAAAAGATACCCCTAAATCTAGGTACGGGTTAAGCCCCTCCAAGACACTGTTAAAAATAGGTTAGGTTATGTTAGGCACTCCCAAGACACCCCAAAAATTAGGTACGGGGTTAGGTACCCCCAAGATACCCCCAAAATAGGTTAGGTTATGTTAGAGGCCCCCAAGATGGCGACCGGGACATTGTCCCATAGCAATGGCGGACCGGGACATTGTCCCATTCATACTACTCACATGGCAACTAAGGGGACAGAGAAAATGGTCAAACTCATGTCAAGTCAAGTCATTTGACGAATATAATGTCACTTTGACGTCTTTTTGAAGTCAGTATTACCTTACATTGACTTCAAAATGACATAAAATGACGTCAAAATGACTGCCATGACATGAATTGACATATGAGTTTGACCATTTATTTCTGTCCCATGGGAAGGATACTGTTCCTTTTGAAGATACATGTTCAAAACTTTCAGAATTTGTTCTCATCCTCATGCCTCATGTTGACAAATATATACTGCTAGCCGAATCGTTCTAAGGAGTAGGGATTGGATTTGGTTCAAATAATAAGGCTGTAGTTCACTGAAGCATACTTTTTACTCAATACCTTTCAGTCAGTGCTCTTCCTACAATCATTTCATTAAAGACATGGCACAGAATCGTTTTGTATGTCATCATTAACATATATTTCCATTGACAGATTTGCAGTTATTGCCATCGGGGTGGTCATGATACTTCTGGGGTTCATCACCGCACTTGGGGGGGGGGGCCTACTCCAGGCCATCCCTGATGACGAAAGTATTGAGAGTGCTCTTCTTCATGGGGCTATTCATTTACTACGGTAAGTACACAAGAATGTCCAGAAGTCTTATATTCGTTCCGCTGTTCCTGATGGTGAAATAAGTTGCCGTCCTCACTAAAATGAGCTCTTTCTTTTTGTTACAGCCAAAGAATTCTATGATGAGGTTTTATCCATATGGTCCACCATTAATGACCAGACAACAGCAGAGCAACATCCAGACAATATTGAGTTGTAGCGGTTGTAGCATCATATCATTGTAAATAAATGTTAATTTGGTAACTGCTTCTCCTTAATGCTATTTCCATTCGGGTTGTGAGGTTTCTGTATACATTGTTGTTGAGCGATTAGCGAAGCCTATTACTAAGTATTGAACTTATGTTAACCACTAAGGCTACATTGCACATTGTTGTTACTAATGAAATGATCATTTAGGACGTTAAAATGGCATATCTTCAGCACAGTCGCTGCAGCACAGCAGTTAGATAGCACAACAGCGACCACCTGTGAGAAATGAGAACATTAATGTGTTGTGTGAGGTGCTGGTACACTTTTACATGCAGGAGTTATATCTAGCTTCATAACTCGCGGTCCCAGCAGGGACACCTGCAGAGTTTTAAGAAGGAAAGATACCCTTCTGCAGCAGCCAAGCTAACATAGGTCATTAAACGAACTCTGATGCCTGATTGAATGGAGGGGACTCCTAAAACTGGCCTCCCACCCAACTCAAACTTACACCTCATAATATATGACGGGATTATGATAAAACTACTCACATCTGTCCCAAATAACCCGAAATCTATCCCTTTTTGACAGCTCGGTCCGAGCCATGTCCGAGCTGTCAGTCGGTGTCGTCTGCTTGACTGGACAGCACGTCGTACCACTGCGACCGCGTCCCGCGTCCAACTATTACACTTCTACTTCATTCCGACATAGACGTCGACTGGATGAGATCAGACGACGAAGGTCTGAACGAATGCCGTTTTGTAGGATTTTTTTCTGCTCGTTTCTCACAACATCTGCCCTGTCCAGATTAAATAATTTGCGTATTGGTAGCAGTGTAAATAGGAAGAGAAACAAAAGTTTGTTTCGTCGTGAGGGCGGAGAGGTCGTCTGCTACCGCAGTAACAACAACGAACTCACGAGTCTGTCGTATTGACATCAAAAAGAACTACTTTGGCCACGAGAAAGGTCCAAATATAGGCCAAAACTTAGTCATTTTGACGTCAGATGACCGAAAATGACCTATTCGTGACAAATCCAACCCACTAGAATTTGTGCGTAAACGCACGAGTAGGCGACTTTGGCGCGCTCTGGCGGCGACGGCGACCACACCTTTGTCTCCTCCCGCTATGGCCGACGAAGGAAGGGGTGCGAGCTGTCGTGACGCCGAAGTTGATTAGGTAATTATTCGATTTGAACTGATACTCTTTTTTGTGGCATATCTTATGGAGTTGCTATCGGTTAGATCTCGTCAAAAAAAAATATAGTTTTGTGACGGAGTTTAACTTTTGGTTCAAAACTTAACCTCAAAGGCTGAGTCTCATTGAAAAAATGCA